TAGCTCAGTTTAGTTAAGTACTTTCTTTATATTTTTATCATGTTTAGTCTCCAAATGAGGAGCTAAACTCTTCCATCTTGGTTTTGCTACTTTGAAGCTTAATGAATTTGTAAGTTGTGAGTTATTTTCTTTAATCTTCTTCCTTGAATATTAATTCTTCCTTTAAATACTATTTCTATATCAATGTTGGGGAGTGTTACTAAGATGACAATTAGTTAACATCTTGACATTAGTTATAGTAGTAATTATTTCTACCTCTACGTTAATATTGGGGAGTGTTACTAAGATGACAATTAGTTAACATCTTGATATTAACTATAAGTAGGATTCATCTTCTTTAATATTCTTTCTTGAGTATTAATTAATTCCTATTCATATTTCATATTAATATTTTGAACATTACTTAAAGGATCAACTAGTTTTGTTTCATATATTAATTAATACTAGAATCGGTCGATTAATACGCTTGTTATTAATTCGGTCCTTTCATGGTAGTAAACTTGGATTATTAATGCATGCATCTCATGGTTAATAATCTAAGGGGAATTAATTATATTGATTAAACCAATAAACCGCTTGTGTTGAGGTTATCAATCTCAATCGTTTTCATCTTAAGTTTATTGCTACTATCAAGTTAATATACGGCGCTTGTTCTATATTGACTCGATAGTAAGTTTTATTAATGAACACTTCTCGTTATTAATAACTACCCTCGATGAACTGGATATACTCCTCGGTTGAGTATTCGAGAGGAAGATAGTTAAAGATATAACCGGGATCGACGAACGCTTCATTAAGTGGATAAAAGCAAAGCCAAGTCTTCTTCTTATTAATTAAACCACATAACTCGTTCATCTTCGTGTTTAAATATAATATAAGTTCATTTACTCAATCTAAAACCCCCCTTGTTACTAGTTTATAAAGAGAAAAGTATTCCTTTCCCTGTGGATACGAACCTTACTTCGTTATACTACGTATAATTGTCGTATTGATTATTATTTTGAGTGCACATCACGACAAAAGTGCACGTCAAACGGGTTTGCATGAGATGAAGATTCACGGGAACTAGGGTGGTGGATGGCGAGGCAGTGACAAATGCGGTGTCCTCTGAGATGGCCGAGTGGTTGCCAAAGTGACGGAAAGAGGGGATAAGGCAGTCGGTTCGGCCTGGAGAGGCAGTAAGGGGGTTGTAGGCGGGGAAGTAGCCGTTGAAGCTGGCTGGCAGAGTGGACACTGCACCAGACTGCCATGTAAAGGAAGTAGGGGGCATAAGTGAGGCAGCCAATTACAAGGTGGAGGAACGAGGCATCGAAGATTCTACGTACCATGGAAGTAATATAGTATCATTAGAAGTCACTTGAGAGCTGGAGGTAATTAAATTTGAATAAGGAAAATAATTTCTATGAAAACAGACATTTTGAGTTATGTAATACATTTCCAGGCAACAATAATCTTTGTATTCAAGAGTATAGCTTAAAAAGAGACACAAAACAGATCTAGAGAATGATTTATTGTCAGATGTGCACTAAAATTAGGAGAACAGACACGCCCAAAAGCACACATAATAGAGAAGTCTGGTGGATAGTTAAATAATTTTCAAAGCGAGATAAACCATTTAAATTAGGAGTTGGAAGACGATTAATAATATAGTTAGTAGTAAGAAAGAATCGGCCAAGAATTTTGCTAGCAACTTTGATTCAAACAATATAGTGCGAGCTAATTCAAGAAGTTGATGATGTTTTCTCTCAGCAACCCCATTTTATTGAGGGTGTCAGGACAAAATTTATGAAATAAGATGTCATTCTGGAGAAAAATATTACGCATATCATAAATATCAAATTCATCTCCTCAATCACTTTGAAATCTTTTAATTTTAATTTTACACCATTAATTTAAAATGTTGAAAGTGGCGCAAAACTTCATTTTTATGACGCATGGGATAAAGCCAAATAAATTACGAAAAATCAACAATTAAAAGAACATAATATCTACATCCAAATTCAGAGGAGACAGGAGATTGCCACTCATTAGAATGAATTAAAAACAAAGGAGCAATAGATTTAAATCAAACTTTCTAAAGGTAATGCCTGTAATTTTCCTCACTGACAAGAAATAATAAAATCACGAGCAAATGTAGAAGTACTAAAAGTGGAGCCAGATTTCTTGAGTTTATCTAAAATGCGAGTTCCACAATGTCCCAATCGTCAATGTCAGACCGGTCCAGGAGCAACATGAGCATTGAGAGCAACTAGTGGATGAAGAGAAAGGAAATAGGCTAAATGACACCATTACTGGAAGCTTGAAGAAGCATCACCCCTGAGGTTCTGTCTTTTACAAACAGAAAATGTTTATAAAAAATCACCAAACAGTTATTATCGGCACATAATTTTTAATTAGATAATAAATTATAGGGAAAAGGGTCAAATAGACCCTCAAACTTACATGGAAAGGCCACCGGGAACCGCCCCAAATGGCTACGGCCAGACAGAGCCTCCTATATAAGGGCTTATTTGACCTTTTTATGTAAGTTCGAGGGCCTATCTGACCCTTTTTCCCTAAATTATATTTAGGGAAAGTTCCCGAAATAGGACTAAAAGAGTTTGAAAATTCCAAAATAGGACTGCCATGTTTTTATTCCCAAAATAGGAGTAATTACTGCCAAGTTTCGAAAATACTGCCATGTTTGAAGTCTGGTACTGCCAAAACATGACAGTAATTAGTCCTATTTTGGGAATAAAAACATGACAGTCTTATTTTTTGAATTTCAAACCTTTTTAGTCCTATTTGGGGTAATATTCTCTTATTTTTAATGTGCGGAGCATGGTTAACAAATTTTAAATGGAGCAACTGAGACAGAGCAAGTAAAGTGAAATTATCAATCGTCAGAACTGGTCAATTAGAGTCATTAGCAACCGTAAGTGTGAGTTGTCCGGAATTAATAGATTTATTAAATAAACATATTATAGATTTATTGAAAAAGAACATCGTTTGGTGCGTAAGGAGTCAAACATGAGACCAGGGGTTAGGTCATAGATATTACTAATTAAAAGCATTTTGACAAATCTAAGACCTCTTTAAGTAAATGCCAAAAAAGGGACCAAACGTGTGAATCATTTAAAAAGTTTAGGATGAAATGACAAAGTTGCCCCTATTACTAATGAATACTCTGCCCCTGCGTTGTCAAGCACATAACCCATTTCTTTGCTTCTCAAAATTAAAATATGGTATGTTTTTCATATAACCCAAGTTACGGTTACCAGTTACGATTTACAATTATATAACTTGTCCGATTACAATTACCGGCTCGACCCATTAGAGTTATTCAACGTCAATTATAATAACCTAACCAATGACAATTACCCGATCCAACTAGTTACAATTACCCGATCCAACCAGTTACAATTACCCAATCCAACCAGTTACAATTACCCGATCCAACCAGTTACAGTTATCCGACCCGATCGGTTACAACTACCCGATCAATTACAGTTACTCGATCCGACCAATTATCGTTACCTGACCCAACCAGTTACAATTACCCGTCCGATCAATTACAGTTACCCGTTTCAACCATTTATAGTTACTCGGTTCAACCATTTACAATTACCGAACCAATAAATTACAGTTACTTGATCCAATCAATTACAATTATTTGACCCGACTGTTGAATTACAATCCCCGCACGACAAGGTACACTTACCGCACTTTAGCCGCTGTCGGCCACCGCACGGGCCGGTTACAGTTACCAGCACGCTAGCCACTGCCACCGGCCACTGCTGACCACCGCCCCATCAGTGAGCCCTTCCCCTCTCCGGTGGCCAGCCCCCTCAACCCGTCTCTAGCCCCAACCTGGCTCCAACCTCCCCAACCCCCTGCCACCGTCGACCACTGTCGGCCACCCACCGCCCCTACCCAACTGCTCTGTTAGTGAGCCCCTCCCCTCTCCAGTGGCCAACCTCCTCACCCTGTCTCTAGCCCTTACCCAGCTTCAGCCTCGCCAACCCCTGCCACCATCGGCCCCGTCCCTACGTCGCCCTTCCTGCCCTCTTCCAAACCTTGCACAATCGCAGCCCCAGCCCCACACCGCGCCCCTTGTAAGCGTAGAATCCCATCTTCGTGCCCCGCCCCCAGATCCAACACCGACCAAACGAGCCCTAACCGCCCGCCACACTCGACTCATAGATCGAACCCTAGCCACCCACCGTACTCGCTCCGTACCCTACGCCGAATCCCTGTCCCGACCAACTGCGAGATATGAAACTAACGCCTGATTTATCGTTGATCTAGTCAAACTCGTGTCTGAAGAAGGGGTAGGAGAAGAAGCGGGATGTAGATTCGGTCTTTGTTGTAGATCTGAAGGGGCTGTGATGTGCGATGCTGCAGTTGCGGACTAGCGGTGGTGAAGGGGTTGTGGCGGAGAAGGGGCTGCGGCGATCGATGGTGTAAGCTCTGAGAGAGGCTGGCTATGGTTATCTAGGAGAAGCAGATGGTTTCGACGGGAGGGGTAGGTTGGGGAGAAGCGGACAATTTCGACGATAGCCTGATAGAGTGATAGGGGCCTATCGGTCCATTGCTTAAAATTTGATCTTTTTTTGTCCAATTCAAATCTAGTCCTATTTTTGTCCAGCCAAAACTCCTTAGTATTATTCATGTCATTATTTCTAAACTTTATCTCACACATATGATCCATCATCTTAATATCCTTTTTTTTAATGTGAGAAAGCATGTGCTTCAATTCCATGGATCTAGCCTGCCAGACTAAAAGACATAAAATGACACTCCAACCGTTGTGAGACAACTTTGGTTTGTGTACAAAAAAATGTGTAGTACAAATAGTTTTTTTCTTTTTTAGATGTGATCAACTGTAATCCAAAACCCCAATTCCACTTTTTTTTTAGATGTGGTCTATTTGGATGTTTTAGTCTTTCAGAGTAGCTAAATCTTAAGCATCGATGATTTGCTGGTCTTAAGTTTTGAGTGTTGGGACAAAATGATTTCTCGTTGGTGATAAGATCTAATTAAAGCAAATCAAATGGGCTCCAAATAACAAGAGAAATTCGTTAAAGTACGAGTAAAATGGAGACAAGGTATACATACGCATGGAACAATGTCGAATATCTATAAAGATGAAATAAGCAGAGAAGAGATGTGGAATTAGAATTTTTACCATTTAGGAATCTATAAAATTAGAGCAATATAGAGAACTGAAATAGCGGCGAGGTGAGGTTTGAGTGTTCCAGTTTATTGATTGACCCGGTGGATCTAGCTTCAGTTCTTGTCGTCGTCTTCAAACGCCGAGACCTGATAGGACCTGGAGAGGCCGGCAGGGGTGGCGAAAACGATTTTTCCGGCATCCGGGTCGGGGATGTGGATGTAAGAGAGGGTGACCCAGATGAGGAGCTCCTTGGACTGGACGCCGGTGACGCGTTTCATCCGCCGGTCTTCGACGAAGGCGGTGACCTCTTTGTCGTACCAGACGCGCTTCCCGATCTTCTCGAAAGTGTGCTCCCTGGCCGCCTTCTGCCTCAGCCACACGAATCCGGTCTCCAAGTTCCGGCCGACCTCCGCGATGTCGCCCAGGGGGAGGAGCCCCGACGGCATGTTGATCTCCCGGAGGAGCTCCAGGACCTTCTCCTTGCAAACCGTCGGATCTGTGTGTATCTCGGCGTTCTCTCGGTGCTTCTCGATGAGTTCCATGGACGAAGACGACATGTCAATGGTTTTATGAAACCTTCGCCAGGGTACGGTATGAAACTATGGAAGGGAATTTCGGGAACTAGAGATTTATATAGGGAGATTTACTAAGACGAAATAAATCCTTAATTGTCAAAATAGGACTAAACTTTAAAAATTCCCTAAATAGGAGTTATTATCTGTAATTAGACATAAACATCCCTGGAGCCCTGAAAAAAGTCTGCCGTTGACAGAACCTAACCCATCGCCGGTCGCCACTGGTCGCCGGTCGCCGGTCGCCGCTGGTCATCGGCCGCCGGCCGCCTCCTCCTCCTCAGAACTCGATGTCGCCGCAATAGATCTGATCGCCGTCGGTGCAGATCTGGACGTCGCCATCGTAGATCTGACCAGATCTGTCCGCCCTTAGCCGCCAGCCATGCAAATCGAACTGCCACCATTGGATGTCCGGCCGTCGCCACCGCTAATGCCAACATTTCTCTCAGAATGCCAAAATGAATCAAGAATGTCATCTTAATGGCATTTTTGAAAGAAATCACAAAAATGTTTTGTCACGCCCCGGACCTATCCGGGCACGTCAACAATCCGCCGTACAGTACGAATGGTCAACCGCAGTCCAACACATCCATATTATACAAGGCGTCTGGAATATCATTCACACATAGTACATCTATAAACAACATAATGTAAAATATTCACTTAAAGCAACGGAAGCATTCAATACAAGTGTGCATGCCACACTTTGGCAAACATGGGCATACAAGCCCTAAATAAATATTTAAAAATAATATCCATGAGCATTATTTAAAATGTTTTCAAAACAGGAACGGAAGAAGCACGAACCACGTCTCCCTCCTTTGATCTTCCCGAAGCAACGGGCGGTGGTAGCAACCTTCAAGTTCTACCTGAAACTGTGAGGTGGCCTCCCCCGTGAAGGGGAGGTCAGTACTTGGAAGCATTTGACAAGTACAATGACAACTATACTAAGTATAATCAAAGTTTCAATTTCCAAGACCCTAAATCTAGGGTGCTATTATTTATATTAAATTCACGTTCCTTCATGCTAGAGCTCGGCTCGTAGTCATCCTAATTTGTGCTAGAGCTCGGCTCATAGTCACGCTACATTTTGCTAGAGCTCGGCTCATAGTCATACTAATTTGTGCTAGAGCTCGGCTCATAGTCACACTACATTTTGCTAGAGCTCGGCTCATAGTCATACTACATTTTGCTAGAGCTCGGCTCATAGTCATACTACCACGTGCTAGAGCTCGGCTCATAGTCACGTCATCTAATCCCTAAACCACTTCTTAGTCTAGGTTCCATCCATTTTGAGTAACCCTTAAGGCCTACTCCTAATGTAACTTGACTTCATAAAGTCCACCTTAAAAATATCCTTTAAGGTTATTTAACTCAAATATCTTGGGATTAGCTCCCAAGAACTATTGAACTTACATTCCCGACTAGTATTTCTATACTAGTTGTTTAATCTTAATAAACCAATGCAATTTCATAATAATTCGTATATTTCAACTAAATTTCACATTCAAGTATAATTTGGCTCTATTATCAAAATATCACTTTTACCCTCCCATGACTTCCTTACATGAGGTAAAAGTATATTTATCACCATTTAATTTGTAGTTTATACAACTATTATGCCATTGTATCCATAACACATAATCATACACAATTTATTCATAAATTTGTATGTTATGCATTTTTGCTTATAAACAATAATGATATCGTTTAGGCATTTTTAATTATTAATAAATCATGCCAAACACATATAATTCATTTAGGAAATCTTATGAAATTAACCCAATAATTATAAGTAATATAGTCGGTCATCCTCACCTTAAGTGAGCTTAAGTGCGATCTACGTTTCCCGATTGAACTTTGGCGAACTTTGACCAACTCCGGCCAACTTAGACCAACTCCGGCGAAACTCCGGCAAAACTCAAAGATACTCTAAATCAAGTTCCTAGCCTTTCTTCAAATTTTGTACACTTTTGGAACTTAAACTTTTTCCTAGAGCTTCCTTCTTATTGGAGCTTCCTTCAACAATGGAGAGGGAGGGAGATGGTTTATCTGGTCTTTCCTTGGTGTGGGTTGGCCGAGAATGAGGTAGGAGAAGGGTGGAGATAACCCTTTTGTCTCATTGATCAAATGAGAGTGGATGGGATCCACCCCATTTTGTTTGATCCCTTTTCTATCAATTCACAATCCCTCACCCATGCCTCCCTCTCAATTCAGCCGACCAATGTGTTGAAAAATGAGGTTAAATTCGTGGGTTGGCCCCCACCCATGTGGGAGGTCAACCCTTTTTGTCCAGAAGTGTACAATCGGTCCCGAAAGTTGTATTTTTCGGACTGTTTTAGATATATTTTATTTTATCGGGTCAAATAAAATATGTTATGTGTTCCCAATCATTATGACCCTTATAATGAATATACATCCCCCAAATTTAATTTCTAAGTTCCTGAAATTCATTTCTGGCTTTTATCTGTTAAATTACCAGTACCGGTATTTTGGCCTTTTTGATCAACCAGTCAACTCTATATCATTTCTTTGGACCAAATAAATTATCCACCACTATATAAGTATTATATTGACCAAGATGAATAAAATATACGGTCTCGGGAATATCGGGCGGCCCCCGCTCCCGGTGCGGGCCCCACGTGCGAATTTACTATTCACGCAAAAACATTAATAAAAATTCACAACTTCGAATACTCGTTAACCATTCCATAAGTTCAATACATTATTCACTTAAAAGTAATTACTTTTGGGGGACGGTGTTACATGTTTGAAGTATAAAAATGCCATTTTGATGGCATTCCAGAGTAATATTTGGCAATTTGAAGCACCCAAGAAGAAATAGAGCACATATGTGCGATGAAACAAAAGAGGGGAAGAGAGAAGCACATTAGAGGAGGAGGAAGGAGGGGAAGATACTTCGGCTATAGATCTCGACTCACTATTCACTTGTTGCTAGGCTCTGCTCCTGTGCCCGCCTCTATTGTTCGTTGCTGCTCGCCGCATCAGGAAGCTGTGAAAGGAAGAGGGGACATGGCGGTCGCTGCCGCTGCTCTCCGGCGCACGCCGGCGCTGTTCGTCCATACTCGCTGCCGGTCGCGGTTGAAGCAGAAGCCCAGATCTACGCGCAACGATGCTGCACTGTTGAAATGTAGCGATGTTGAAATACAATGTGCGAGTAGAATGATAGGAAGTCGTGAGCCGCAGATGGGTCAAATGAATTAGAGGGTAAAATTGGAAGAAGAGTCCTATTTAGGGAATAAGATTATACTACTCCTATTTTGGAATTTCAGCAACAATTTAATCCTATTCGGTGCTATTTTCCCTTATATATATAGATATGGAATTAATTAAATACTATTCCCTCGCCATTGTTTTGCAAATTAAGTGTTTGGTCCACTGATGTTAAAGTTTAATTCTACTTATTGATAATTAAATTCATTTTTAATAATTGAAATTTACATACTCAAAATTTTTATGAAGTTTTAAAATCCAAATTAACATTAAATTAAGAATTGATATGAAAAGATGATTGGAATGTTTCTCCTAGAGTTTTAATTGAGAAATATATGACTAATTTTAAAATGTGGCTTTTCCCTGAATATTACTCGTACTAAACAAAAGCTAATTTCCAACAAAGTGGTCGCATTTACATTTGGACAAAAATGTGACTAAAATGCTTATTAATGTCACTGCACCACTTCCATGTCACTATCATATGTCACTGCTACCGCCTACGCCTGTATCACCGCCACCGATCACCGCTACCGGCCAAAGTGACATCTGTGTCGTCGATGTCATTGACGTTGCTGCCGATGTCAACGTGATCGCCACAGTGACGCGCCCTGTCACCTCCAGTCATAGTGACATGCCGTCTCTAGTCACAATGACACACCACGCCATCACTGGCCATAGTCACACCTCCGCAGTGCCATCTCCGCCGCCTGCGTCACTGTGATTGCCAGAGTGACACACACTCCACCTCTGACCACAGTACCTGGGGTTAAGCTTTCCCCTCGATATAAACTGGATGATACCCTTCCAAGGAGAAATCCTTAGGAAGACCTTATCACCGACCTCGAACTCCAATGGCCTGCGTCGTTTGTCGGCATAACTCTTCTGCCGATCTTGGGCAGCCTTGAGTCTATCCTGAATGACTTTCACCTTAGCTTTGGTGATTTCAACAAGTTCAATCCCTTTGAGCTTGGCCTCGCCAACCTCGTCCCAACACAACGGTGTTCTGCATTTCCTCCCATATAATGCCTCGTATGGAGGCATGCCAATACTCGCCTGATAACTGTTGTTATAGGCAAACTCGACTAGAGCCAAATGCTTGTCCCAACTTCCTTGGAACTCTAAAGCACACGCCCTAAGCATATCTTCCAGAATCTGTATCACCCTCTCAGATTGTCCATCCGTCTGCGGATGAAAAGCTGTGCTAAACTTCAATTTGGTACCCAGGGATGCTTGGAACTTGGGCCAAAATCGGGATGTGAAACGTGGGTCCCTATCCGAGACAATGGATATTGGAACTCCATGAAGTCTCACAATCTCCTCCGTGTATAGCTTTGCCAATCTTTCAAGAGGATAAGTAATGTTGATAGGCAAAAAGTGTGCACTCTTGGTGAGCCTATCAACCACTACCCATACCGCATCATAGTTGTTCACAGTTCGTGGTAGCCCCACCACGAAGTCCATGGTCACATGCTCCCACTTCCATTCTGGAATGGTCAGTGGCTGCAAAAGCCCTGCCGGGTGCTGATGCTCCGCCTTAACTTGCTGGCAAGTAAGGCATCGACTCACGTACTCTGCGATGTCCCTCTTCATACCCGACCACCAGTAACTTTCCTTCAAGTCCCGATACATCTTCGTACCCCCTGGATGCATAGCATATGCCGAAGAATGAGCCTCCTCTAGTATAGACTTTTGGAGCTCTTCACTCTTTGGTATGCATACACGGTCTTTAAACAATAAAAGACCGTCATCACGTACCCGAAAGTTCTCCACGGGCCCTTCAAGAATCTTCTCGCGGATCCTCTGACATTC